TGTTTGGTTCATTTAATAGAACCTCATTCTGCGGCTCTCCCTGCCTCCATCACCCTCCCACCCCGGTGATCAAGATGCGCTCTAGAGTTGATTTTGGCGTTCCCTATTTTCTTGTTATTCTGGTTTTTTTTTTTGGTTTTTTTTTGCACTTTAAACCTTCAATATCAGAACTACTGAAGAAGCATGTCCCTTTAATTTTCATGCTGGCTACTCCTCTAGGAAATCAGACACGGGTACAGAAGTTTGGTTCTTCTCCATCAGAACTCTGTGCTGAATGTGGCAGAAAATCCACCGCCAAATGGCTTCACTGTAAAGCAGTTACTGGCTTAGGTAATCAGAAAATTCAGTGGCTCAAAGGATGTCACCAAGGTCCTCGCTTCTCTCTCCTTTTCCCCTCTGTTTTCTGTGGTCTTGGCTTCATCCTCATGTTCTGCATGGTGGCCCCCTGTCAACTCTCCCCTCTCCCCTCACAAAACTGCACAGCCACATCCGTTCCTGACAAATCCTTATACCACACCTTCCTCGGGAAGACCATCTTTTCCGGTAGCTGCTGCCCACGCTCTGGACTCCGGGGGTCATTTTCCCATGTTGGCCTGAACTGGGCCATGTGTCCACTGTGTGGCGAGGATTAACGAGGTTCTCTAATTGGCTTAAGCCCGTCAGGGCCCACCGTGGGTCTGCAAGAAGGGTGGATCCCACCCAAATGCATGGTGGAGATGCTGGGAGGAGAACCACCAACTGCTGGCTGGGAGCTGGAGGAAAGGATGCTGTGGAGGTGACGAGTGAACGTCCTCTGTGGCTCTCTCTCACCGTATTCCTGAAGTAAGACCTGAGGATGTCAGTTCCTCTGGTTGATGTTCAGACAAAGCTGGGTGATCATTTTCTCATGTAAGCCCAAACTAAACAGGGCCCTAGGTCCCCAGATTCGCATTGTCATTCTTAGAAAAAATCCTCTAGGAAATCCCAAGTATTAATCAGAATCCCTAAATTCCGCAGCTCTGACTGCGCCATGCATCTACCCTCTCCTTCCAAGAGGTGGGAGGGGAGAGGGTGTTCAGAGAAAGGGCAACTGAGTCACAGGCGTGCAGGCGCTCACAGGAGGCCTGACATCTCCCCGATGAGTGACTGGGGTGTGGGTGCCCCACTGCGGCACGTATTCTTTCTCGAGAAACACTTGATTGCTTTAAGTGATGCCCCACTGCTGGAAGTAGGAGGCAGAACAGATTTGGAAAGAAGCTTTACCTAAGCGGAGAGGAAATTGCCTGTAGGCAGCAGGAACACACTGCATTTGTGTGTTCCACCTTTGGTTTTCCAGGGGACGGGACTGCATCTTCAGAGATGCTATTAAGTGTGACTTGTCCCCAGAAAAAATAAAGTGAAAATTTCAAATTCATGCTACAAAAAACAGATTAAGCTAATTTTGGCTAATCTTCATGTACTATTTGCAGTAGTGACTGAAATAAAGATTAATAACCTTGACCAGCATTAGCATAATCCTCTTTAATGCTGGATATAAAATTACATTATTTTAATAATTTAATTTAATGTTTCCTAACCAGTGGGGGGTGCTGGTAGATTTGCAAGTATTAGCTCTAAATTCTTAAACTAAAGGCAGATACATTTGAAAACGATCAGTGCACCTGGAATATAAAGTACCTGAATTAGCTTAGCCCATCACCACATGCGCACCTCTGTTTCCAGCAAGAGACCGATCATGCGGCACGCGTGTGGGGGTGGGGTGTGTGTGGTGTATGTGTCTCTGTGTGTAGGTGAATGTGCGTGTGTTGGGGGGAGGCAGCGACCTTTTATTTTTATCTAACATTTGCAAAATTGATGAATCTAGGAAGAACAGGGCAAGACTGTGGGCAGGCCTCCGCTTTCCACACTGTGCAGAAGGCCTCTCAACACGGAGCGACAACGCTCCGTCCAGTTTCTGCCCCAATTCTCTGCTTGGTTTCGGGCCGATCACTCTCCTTGGCCCTCCATCTGCTCTGTGTAAGGTGAGGGTCACGGCATACAAAAGGGCTTTTCCCCAGGCGCTGGAGGAGTTTCCGAGTTTGCTGAGTGGCTGCATTTCCATCTGAACTGCAGGCAGTGGACTTCATCAGAGGCCCTGAATTGAGAACTGAATTCGGTTCAGAGACCTGGACCCGCCTCTGAGTCCTAACGTCCTGTTTTTGCAGCTTTCACAGTCAGAGATAATGTAATAATGGGTCAAGTTTCCTTTAAGACAGAAGGCAACATTTTATTCAATGGTTAAATATAGTTAGGAAAAGACCAATGCGCGTAGCCTGGCAGGTTACCTAACTATTTTAGTGTTAGGTTTAGTCAGACACCTGCTAGCAAAGACATTTTCAATCTCAACGTTTTTAGTCTAATGGAAAATGTCGGGATGGCCTTCCCCCATCCTTGCCCAGAGCAGAGGCCAAAGAAAGACATTAAGCCCAGGCAGACTGCATGCCGGGCAAAAGCAGAAGGCTGCAGCAGCGAGGCGGAGAAGTCCTGAATGAATAATGATCTGGCAGCACTGTTTGCCAATACCTGTGGAGCCTGAATGCAAATTAGCACGGGTTCACGTGTCCAGAACTAGAGCTGCAAGCAAATCGCCATCTTTTTACAAATCTTGCCCCCCTCATCTTTAGTTCCCCTCCCCCACCACGACTCGCCAACTCAGGGGAGGGTAGACATTTTGGGGAGTACTTGCCGGGCTGGGAGCTGGGGGGTGAGGGCAATGCCCAGCAGCCAGGCAGACTCCACCTCCTGAACTTCCGGGGGGCTGAGGGCTGGGGCTGGGGTGTTTTCAAAAGCTTCCGAGGTGGTTCTGGTGTGAAGCAAAGGCTCAGCAACCTCTGCTCAGATACATGCAATGACTGTGGTGTTTAACCACCTGATCCTTTATTCGAACATAGCTGCAAGCCTGCCTTATCACACACCAGCGTGTAGGCGGCCAGTGGCTCACCTGAGGTGTGGTTCTCACTTTCTCTCTAGGTTGTTAGAGCGGAGTTAGGTATCAAAGCTGTTCGTATGTCTGCATGTTGACAGGGCCAGGCTCCTGACTCAACTGCCATCGACACCAGGGTGATCCCGCCTTGCTAAAGAGGGGACTGGTTCCAGGGGCCCTGTTTCCAGTCCCAGTGAAGATTTCCTCCTTAAAAGTTCCCGTTTTCACAACTGAAGATATAGGGAAGGAAGACGATCAAAGTAAGGGAGATTAGCTGCTTGCATTTTTGGGTTTTGATTTGAGTCAGTTCCCTTCTTTTCTTTATTTAACGCCATCACATTGCATCAGCATTTGCTAGAACACGTTTTAAGTGCCCTTTCTCTCCACTGCAGTTCAAAGGACTCGGCCGCCCTCGAGGGCGTCCTCCCGCCCTTTGCACAGAGAAGATGCAGCTTCCCACCCCGCCCGCCACCCACACTCCAGACACCCCAGGCCTGGGTCTTGACCCCCCGGGGCAACACACAGCCTTGTTCTGACTCACCCAAAGGTGGCCAGCAATAGGACTTGAGCCACCAAGTTTCTGTTCACTCCCAAAATGTGTTGAGAACATAGATTGAATTTTCTGCTCAGTTTCCTCCATTTCAATTCTCCCATTTGAATAACTGGAATAATGTTGTCGTCCACCTTACAGGGTGACAACTAACTTTTTGATAGTTGAAGTCCTTGGATGCAAAGTATTATTTATAAGTACGAAGTATTATTATTTAGTAATCACTGAGTTGGTAAATGTATCCATCATAAGGAATTTTTGGAAGAGGGCTTTAAGGAATGAATAGCAGCAGAAATGTAGCTACATGTATTTTTGAAAATATTTTTGGGTCTACTAACTTAGAAAAAATCCCAAATATTAGATATTATTTCTAAAGGCACCTAAATTGCATCATCATCATCATTATTATTATTATCATTATTATTTTGGCTTAGAGCTACAGAAAAATTCTTGGGAAAAGTGAGGGTGTGGGGCTTTATTTGTGGGGAGGGGGCTTGATTTCCCTTCCCCTGGCCCAGAGTGTGGCTGCAGCTGTGGAGACAGCTAGAGAGACCTGTTGTCTTTCTAGTCCCCTCCCACATGTTGAAGTGTCTCTTCTGATTGACAGTGGGAGCGGGTGTGGTCGCCACTTGGGCAGGGAGCTAGAAAGATTTAGTTGGCTTAAAAGAAAAATTGCCTCCTTGCACTCATGAGCAGGGCAATGAAAACCTGGTGACGCCCCTGGAGTTCTGGGGGGCTTCTAACCAGAGAGGATGGTCCCTTGCGAGCTGTCATACCATAGAAAGAGAAGACCTTCGGCTAACACAGAGCCTGACTGATACAGGGCATTGTGTGACCGTAGAAAGGCAGGGTGCAGGAGCCCTGGAAAGTTCACTGGGGTGCCCCTGCCAAAAGGAAGGAACTTCCGCTTGTCTTTCTGTGTGCGCTGCTGGAGAGAAGCTATACGGAGAGCTGGTCCAATCCCTGCTCTCGTGACTTTAGTCTCCCTCGTGTTGACAAAACCACACACAGCATGTAAGGGCAAAGCCCTTCTGATGCTGATGCATGAAAAGACGTGGCCACTCAATTGAACAAAATCTCTCCTGTTGCATTCATTATGAGGACCACAAAAATGGATTATAATGAAATTACCAAATCACTTTAACCACTCTTGTTTATGCACTCCCGCCAAGGGAAAACAAAGTTGCTGAAACAGAAAAATGTTTCCCAAAGGAAAAACAATTTCCTCTTTTGTGACCTGAGAAAGTTTACCACAGCTCCATTCAAAGCCTTCAGGCATGCCCTGACCCATGTGGCTCAGTGGGTTCAGCGTCGTCCTGCAGACTGAAAGGTCGCCAGTTCGATTCTCGGTCAGGACACATGCCTGGGTTGCGGGGGCCCAGTGCCTGGTTGGGGCACGTGTGAGAGGCAACCGATTGATGTTTCTCTCCCTCTCTTTCTCCCTCCCTTCCCTCCTCTCTAAAAATAAACAAATAAAATCTTTTAAAAAAAAACCTTCAGGCGCTTGACTTTTTTTTTTAATTATCCTTTACCTTTTTAATAAAAAGTAAAAAACAAACAAAAAAAATACATCGATGTCCTGAATAGAACCTCTCTATGTAAAGATCTCACTGAACAAATAAACATAGGACCAGACAAAAGAAATGGAGCTGCAAATAGCAATATATTATGAAGCGTCTATATATGTATGTATATATTATATATGAATGTGCGGGTATATGTGTGTGCACCTATGTATGTATACATATGTAAATATTTGCCTACATACGTCACACACACACATATATTTATACTGACCTCTTTAGATTGAAGTCCAAGGCACTTTTTACAATGAACAGGTTAAAGCCATTAATTTAGAACATACTGTTTCTGGGTACATATCAATTTTGGTGCTAATATCACAGTTCCTATCCTTCCTTGCTCACCTTGGAGTGTCTCTGGTTGCTGTAATGAATGAGGGAATTGGTTTAAGAGGAGATCAGGAATGTTTCTGGGTGGTTAGACTAACTCCCCTTGCTAGTTTCCTCTAGGGAGGCGAGTTCCTGCTGCTGGGAGGCAGGTTTCCCAAAGAAGCGGCCCGATTCTGCACTGGGCTGAGCAGACCTTCCCGGGCACCTGCCCCGAGGGGCCACCTCACACTCTGATGGCCTTGCCAGCACTGGCCACAATGAAAACCCTAACCGGGGGCTTTGAGGTGGCTCAAAGCTATGAACCGAGCTTTATAAAATCAGACTGGAGAAAGACACTCTCTTTTTGCACGCCACCCAAGCTATATGACCTCAAGTAGAATTTTAAGGTGTGTTTGTTTTTATCCTTATGACCACACAGGACAATTTGCTTCATCAAATAATTCTGCAAAAGGAAGAAATGGTTGAATTTTCTGATTACTGAGGAGGTTGAATGCCATTGCTGTGTGGGAAAGCTAGTGCTTCTCAGTATTTAGTGTGGGCACAGACCACCGGAGACCCTGTTAAAGTGCTGCACTCGACTATGTCGGTCTGGCGTGCAGCCGGAGGCTCTGCATTTCTAACAAGCAGAGCCAGGTGGTAAGGATGCGGCTGGCCCATGGGCCAGTCCTCGAGTACTAATGGTCAGCGTGCAGCCGCACACCTGAATCATTGGCAAGAGGTCTGCTTTCCTGAAGTCAGGAATGTCCATTGGTTTCCTCGACCTAGACTGAATAATAACCTTGAGGGGAAAATTAGAATACATTCCCTTTCTAGAAACGTAAGAACTTTAGTCCAAGAAGCACTTGAAGGAAAAGCAAAAAGGACAGTTCAGTTCTATTTAGTAGCAGAAAAATATAAAGAGACAAATAAATCACCACCAGTACATTCATCAATCAGTTATAAAACTGAGAATAAACTAATTTCCATTGCCCAGGGAGCGAGAACCCTGCTAGAAGCAGGTGCCCTGGAGTTCTCATGGCTTTGGTAGAGCTCAGCCTACGTGCAGCTGAGAAGCAGTGCAGACCCCAAGAGAATGTGGTTCAGTCAGAGTGAGTCTGGGCCATGTGCATGCAAGGCAGGTCTCAGCTGCATGTGCAGGTTGAAGCTGGGCACTTCGATATTTGTCCTTTGGATGACATGAATAACTAATATCATCGAGGCCCAAGCCTTGTCTACATTTTGGCTCAAATAGATGGAAGTTTAAGAGGATTCCAGCCTTTTCCCCAGGAGAAAACCTGTTGTTTTGCACTGTCAGTACACCTGTGTGTTTTCAGGGTTTGTGAAAGGAAGAGATAAGCACACTCCACACTCAGTTAACTCTACTCTGATGCTGCGTGGTTTGCACCTGTGTACCGTTACCCCAAAATGATGACAATGAGTGAGGGCCCTCCTCGGGAGGAGGCCCAAAGCTTCTAGGAAATATTTGCTCCATAACCTCCACATCTGGTTTTCATCTAGCCCCTCCGTCACTCAAAGGAAGGAAGTGAGAAATTCTGTGTGTCTCGACTGACCAGAGAAGAAGGGCAATGAACTTCATAGTTGCTTAAGTAGAGAATTTCCCCCCAATTTTGCCAATAAAGGAAAACATCTAGATTGAGCTCTTTCTTCCCTCGTAGCTAGAGTAAACTAGTAGAAGAGGAAGCCCTTGCTGGATCTTGCTGTGCTGTCCTGCCCTCTCTTTCATTCCCTCAGGAGCCATGCTCCACGCTGTGGGCGAACAGCGCAACCCTCGCTCCCTCCGCGGTGCAGCCATTCTGAAAAGCGCACGCGCTCAGGGGCTCCCGCAGGGCCCAGTGCCATGGAATGCCAGTGCAGCGTCTACTCTGACACAGAGAAAATCTGTGATGATGCCTAGAATTGTGAGCCTTTCGTGTCACCGGAGAACAAGACTCTTCCTCATGCCCAAACCTGACACTGCCAAAGGAAAAACCGGTCGGCTGAGTTCGAGACATGTAATTCATGCAATGAGGGCCTTGGCTTCACATAGAAGGAGCCTGCACTTTGATTACACTGGCTTTGCACGGCTACTACAGGAGTGATGGCTTTTAAAACTCCCTTCTGGAATGGCTTGATAGAATTTAGGGTAGAAATATCCTTCTAAGCTCGGAATAATGTTCTTTTGTCTCTAATAGCCAGGTCTCGGGGAGTTAGGATATGGCAGTTCTGCAGGATGAGAACCCTGTTCTGGGGTCGGGCGCCCCTAGCGGTGATGTGTACTCAGAAACAGTCGTTGGGGGAGCAGGCGCACGCTTGGCCCGCCAAAGACCAGTTTGATACAAAACGTTAATTGAAAGTTACAATATATTTTGTAATATAGCAATATATTTCATATTTAAAATAAACTGATATGCTTTCTCCTATCATTAAAAAATAGCAAGCGGTACAGAGGCAAGATGCAAATTCATGTTGAAGCTCATCTGGTTCTGAATATAAACACTTCAGTTTCTGAGTTTGCCATGAAAACGTTTCCTCCGTCAACACCCCGGCATTCCCTTCCGTTGTTCGCGCTTGCCCAGTGCAGAGAGGGAGTCGGGGGCCAAGACCAAGCTGCTGGGCCATTGCCAACGGTGTCCGTGAAGGTGAACTGGTCCTGATTGAGATTCAAAAACCGAAATAATGTGACACAGCTAGAGAATGTCATTTATTCCCTGTCCTTCTTCCGTGGATCTGGATGTCAGCTGTTCTAATTGGGCTCGTATTTGATTTGTCGTTGATTTTTTTTTTTTTGCTATAAAGTCAGCATCTCTTTGGGATCCTAACTTCAGGTTGATGTTGAATTTGTGCTTTTGCTCCATCAGCTCGGTTGGTCACAACGTCCCTTTTGTTTGTTTCATGGTTCAGGTCCAAGATTACAGCTTCCACAATGCATTTCTTGGGTGTGTAAGTAAATAAGTGTCGCAGAGCGCTTGGCACCTAGATTAGAGGTCATACGTTGAAGATTTGATAATGGTTTTGTTCAGAGGGAACTCCAGTTCATGTTTGGGTGCTTCCAGTAATGGTGTAAAAAAAAAAAGATCACAGTTATTTTTTCTCTAGTCTGTATATATTTATCTACCATTGCACTGAATACGTTTTAATAAGCTTCAGTCTATTTCAGTAAAAATCTACATATTACTTGTCCACAGGAGTTTAATGTTTCTATTCATGCAACCTGGCATAAGCTTTCAGGATGAAGAGCACTCACCTACTAATATATTCTATACCAGAGGCAGACAGTTCATATTGCTATCCCCGGGACACGCCTTTCTCAGCAGTATCAATAATCCCACTGTTGTAATGATTACTTTGGCTGCAGTAGAGAAGGAAGGGGCGTTGTCTAGGGCATCATCGAGCTGCAGGGTGAGGGGAGGGGCTGCTCTGTGCCTACTAGGAGACCACCCAATAGCTACAGTATGGGAACCGAACACTGCGGAGTCCATAGGGACAGCAGAATGACCGCTAACGGGTCCCTAATCTGCTGGTCAGCCACTTCCAGGGAAGTAGAATGACCGTATAGAACTAGGGATGTGTTTTAGGATTTGAAAGCAGTAACTTAAAAAGAGTAGTAACCTACTGGTAGTGCAATGCTTTCACGGTGTCCCAGTTGTGGTGCTGTGATGGAGTAACACCCCTGATCTGGGTTGAAACACTGATTCTTAATTTGGGGTGCACTGTTTGTCAAGGTACACTCTGAAGAGGGGAGAGGTCCTGGAGCTGTGTGCTCCTCCCATACTTCTCCCTGTTCATCTCATTACCTAGTTGATATATAATAATTACTTTTTGGTAACTACTGATTGCCTTCAGACATAACATCAAAGTGTGGACAAGATAGCGTCAGTCCAGTTTGCTGCTGATGACAACAGCGATTCCACTTTTTAAAATCTATCGAATATTTTGTACTTAAGAATATTCACTATTATCTTCTTTTTAAGTACAAATAAATGGAGGTATGAGGTGGTAATATGTATCAGCCAAAGATGTGGATGCGATGTTAGGATGTTATTTATTATGATTCTGACTCTCTAGTTTTCTTCTTTTCCATCATTTACAAGGAAATTACTGCAAATCTAAGGGGAAGTCCTCGAGTATATGAAGTCATTACTTCTCCCATGCTGTCCCTTCTCACCCTTACATGAACAACAGTAGCTGGCACCTGCTCAGCACTTTAGCACTGGCTTGCACACGCACTCTCTGCACCTCCAGTTACAAGACTGCACCACTGGTGCCTGCTGATGCCACTAGGTAGTGATGACTCAGGGCCTCACCCCTCTTGCTCTTTTGGATTGTATTAAGCATTTCTGGAGACGTGAATTCATGAAGTTATATTATAAGGATGGCAAGAGCAGTTTGTAGATACTTTGTGACAATTTATTCATGATGGTCATATCAATATATGATCAGCCAAAGGTGACTTTTATTTGGACTTCAATCTAAGGAGGAGTGAGCCCCTAGTCTGGTATGATTTACCAACTGATGCTATGTCCTGAAATTCCACTGAGATTAGTGGTCTTAAAGTATCACAGTACATCCCTGACTTTACAGTACGTGGAGCTATAATATGGCTTAAGCGATGAGGGGTGGCCCTGTATTTTTAATTCAAGTATCTTGATATTTTAGGGGACATTAGGGTACTTTGACCTGTAACTAAGTTATCAGAAAGGTCATAGTAGGGGCCCTGACACTGGGTCAGCTTTCCAGGAGTGGGCAGAACTCAACTGGTTCAGTACTGGAGTGAGGTTATTGTAATGCACAGTTTTTACACATAGCCAATTCTTCAGTAGGTAATGAAACCTCCTCCACCATCAAACTTGGAAATAAGGAACAAGAAGGCATGGTATGAGATCCACCTGGCCCCTCTTCCCATCTGACTGCGATGCTGAAGCACAGTGGAATCAGCCAAAAGACTGGCTGTGGGAGGAACACCTGGGTGAGCTATGCCCTGGATAATCGATAGTTAAGTCGCCAAGGGTTGATTGTACTTGCAGGAGAGTGAGTGGCTTCCCGCATAAAGCTGAATTACTAGTGCAGAGAAGCAGCCTTCTTCCATTTACCACTGCAGGATCAACATGCAAACTCGACCACATTTTGGGGAAACAGTAAGTATTCTTTTGCCAACAATACATAGCTATTGCACTACCAATAGGTCAAGTCATGCCCTAAATGCCCGTGTGTTTCTAGGATGCCAGTGGCTACCAGTACTGGAAATGAATCCAGCCACGCCCTTTACTAGTGTTGCTAGCTCGGTCTTTGGGGGTTAACTAAGTGTACGGCATTCATGATGGATCAAAGCATCATCCCCAGATTGGGGTGGGTCAGTGACAGTCTGCGCACACTTTTGGGGAGGGGAGTGGCAGTGGGATCTTGCATGGAACTCATGGGAAATGCGGACTGAATCGCCGTGTGTGTGTGCATGCGCAGCCGACTGGAAAGCGCGAAGGGAAACTGACATTTAAGCTACAGCCCCTGTAGCTTAAACAACCAGAACCAGCACTCCCAGCCTGACCTGTCAGTGGCCTTCACCTTGTGAAATGAAACACATGCCACAAAGAAACTGCATGGTTATTTCATCTGTTTACACATCTACTGATCTGATCAGCTGAGCTGTCACTGAAAACAGGGGCACCATTCTTGGGACATAAAAGAGAGGGATCTTTCAGGTAGTCAATAGTTAAAAGAACAAGTAAAAAAAATAAAAAGCTAACAGCAAGTGTGGCATCTGTGGTAGGCAAAACAACCAATGAAAATGTCCAAAGGGGTTATCAAAATAAACATGAGACCATTAAAGGAACAGCAACAGCAATAAAAATAGATAAAAGAAGTTTAGTGAGAGCCCCGATCTTCTTGAAAGAGTGGCCTTAGTCCTGGGGTCATCTACCTTTGCCTGATTCCCTGTTCTTTGAAGACCAGGCCCAGCCTGCCGGACAGGCTGCACAGCCGGACACGGCCTTCAGAATGGCGACGGCATCCCTGCGCAAAGTGAAACCCGGCAGGGAACTGCACACACACAGCAGTCTTGTTTTGCCACAAACAGATAAAATATTCCATGCAGTCCAAGTAACTCCCCACAAACAGAAGTCAAAGACCTTGGAATGAAAAAGCAACGAATGACACGCTGGCTTTCACACCGCACGCATGATGTGTGGGCAGGTTCGGGAGCAATGCAACTCCTTTGCTTCCACAGGCCCCTCCTCGCAAGGCCTGTCCCTACACTGGGTCTTAATGCTTCTGAAGTCTCTCGGAGTTTGAGAGACATTAGAGTTTGCCGCAAGGTTAACACGGCACAGCAGGGACAGGCCACTGACAAATCCATGCATCTGGGTCAACCTGCCTGACCCACAGGTCCCTACGGGCTCCCTTAATTCTCAGAGCCTCTCACTCTGAGGTGATTTCAAGTCAGGTGGAAGGGACCACATGAGGCACCGACCCCCTGCACCCCTAACATCTGGATCTGGAAACCTGTCACTGGGTAAACCTAGCTGAGCAAACCCCCAGACAGCGCTCAGGTGTCACTGGGCTGCACTTGTCAGTGCGTGGCAGGCACACGCATGCACAGGTCCTGTCCCCGTCCCTCACACGCACACACCTGGCTGTGTGCTCCACAGGAATATAGCTTGTTGAGCTATAAGAAGAAAGCTCTGCAAAGCTGCTGTTTTTAGAAGGCCGCTTATCCGTCCAGAATGCCAACAGTCTTAGCTCAGCATCATCCCAAACCAAGCAAACACAGCGCACGCCCAGGACGGAGCGGCCTGCATTGTGTCTGAAGAACCCGCCTTCCGTGGAGCTCAGAATGTGGCCAGCACCAGCACACGACCTGCACTGAAAGCTCCCACATTCGGATTCAAACCAACTCAGCACACATTTAGGGAGTGCCTTGACCCAAACCAGTCCTACTGTGTGCAAGGTAAGGTGCCAGGTCCCTTTTCATTTGGGTCAAGTTCAAACAAGAGTAGACCTGGGTTGACTGTGGGATGTGTGTGCGCACACACTCGCAAACACACAGGTTTATGTGGGTATTGATATTGGATGGAAAATCTGGCTTTTTATTTTTCTGTCTAAATTGAGATTTACGATTGTATAAGATATGGAAGGGAAGAATGCCTGTTTGGGCAACATGTGGGCAGCTCTCTTTTCCTTTTGTCATCCAGCAGTTTCCTCAGACAAAAGAAAAAGAGAGAGGTGTGCTGGAGGACCCCAGTGGCGAGGAGCCCACTCCCCACGCCGGACGTGCCCCTCCCACAGCGGGCCCCTCTTCCGGGCAGTTCACTGTTGGCCGCGTCAGTGCATCTGACCCCCGCCCCCGTGTGAACACCTGAGATTGAGCGTGGATTTCTGTTCTCCACCAACTGCAGCAAGGGCCCTGCCAGAGGCGTTGCTTCCTGTCATCTCAGCTTCCTGCTCCCAAGTAGAGGCACCTAAACAGAGATTAGATTTCTGGTTTCAAGGCATATCAAACCAAGCACGCCGAATGAACACGAGTTAGTTAATGAGCTTGGTCTCTCTTCCTTACATCCCCTGGTCTCAGTGTTCCTTGATGGCAAAGTGACCAGGAGAGAGTTGATTTGCATCTTAAGACCTATGGGTAATGCTTCTGGAATGGGGAGGTTTATTTAGCAACTGCTCGAACTTGTGTATGGGGTCGGGAAGGAGGTGGAGCTGACCCCGATCGGGCTGTCGGAGAGCGGGGTGTGAGTGGTGCCCACCGCCACGCTGACACCCCGGGCCTCGATGATGGCAGACAGCAGCTGCTGCTGCTGTTGGCGCAGTGTGTCCGCGATGAGCAAGGGCAGGGAGTTGAAGCTGGTGGTGAGATGCTCCAGCTTGGACTCCAGGCTCCCAATCTGCTTCTCCAGGTCTTCGCTCCGATCATTGAGCTCTGTGATTAAGTCATACATGACATTCTGCATCTGTACAGAGAGGCAGAGAGGCCAGACAGGAGATGACAGGTCATCACAGGGAAATTTGCAATGGGGAAAGTGAAAAACTCCTCCAGATTACAACAGGAGTGACTTCCACGCCAGCCATGCCTCATGCGGCCAAGGAGGAGGCAGCAGCTTACTTTCCTGGAGACACGGAGGCTCAAGGGGAAAAATGGTTTTTTCCCCCCTCATTACAAAAGTCATGCATATTAATTATAACAAAATATTAGAGAATGTGTAACATGGAAAAGAAGCAGCACTTTTTTTCTTAAATGGAGTGAGTCTCTAAACTGTTCTCATGTTCTCATTGTACCCAACCTCTCAGCTCATACGGTACTGGTGCTGCTGATGAAAGACAGGCACTGTGGTGGGAAGTGGATAGGGCAACGGACTTACAGCTGGTAGGCCAGGGTTCAAGGCCAAGTCTGCACTTCACTAATGGTGTGCCCTCCCTTAGGCCCCTTAACCTCTCTGAACCTTGGTTTCTCCTGCCACATCCCACGTCTGACAGCCTTACCCTAATAGGCACCCCTTAAAAATCACCTTTTCAGTGACACCTCCCTGACACGCTGCTCAGTGCCACACCTTGTCCCACCCCACTACTGGTCCCACTGACACTGTGCAACTCTCTCTGTCTTCCACACCACCTTCTGGTGCGTGAATGGATTCGCTGTTTCTTTGGGTTATTGCTGCTGTCCTCCAGGCAGGGACGTTTGCCTGCTGGGCCCACTGGTGTGTCCCAGGGAACCAACAGTGTCTGGTGCACAGTGTCTGGTCCACTAACGATTTTGATAGACAAATATGTATAAGGCAGGGGGTCTGGTGCACACAGTTGTCACTGAAAGTTGTTGGAGGAGCCAGTGAATGAATGGAGTACTGGCTCAAGTAAAATATCACCGCCCCCGCCACCCTGTAGCAAGGCAGCAGTGTCACTGATGGGGAGAGACCCTTTGCACCCCAATTATTTCCATACACCCAGGAGGTTTCTCAGCGTTTCCCACCAAGACCTGTGTGTGAAGGAGAGCAGGTGCTCAGCGAGCATCTGTGAGCGGGTGGGAGAGAGGTCATGTGGGCAGGAGAGCAAGGCTGGGGTGCCCCAGGGAACCAAAAATAAAACAAAATTTAAAAGTAATAAAATAAACGACTTTAAGAGTTGAGTCCTAAAACCAGGTCAGAGAAGAGCTAAACAAAGGGAGCTCACGCCAAGGGTTCCATGCTCCTCCCCAAACCTGCCCTTTGCCGGAGCTCCGTCTCCGTGAGGGGGGGCCGTCCGTCAAGGTGTCCCAACCAGAGACCTGGGTGTCACCCTCTGCCTCACCCTTCACATCCCACCAGGCCGAAGTACCACCCACCCCTCCCATAAATATTCCCCCATTTCAATTCCTTTAACGGAACCAAACCCCTGCAGTTCCAGCTAGGACCACCCCGCAGTCTGCGACGCACTCGGTCGAGCTCTGACTCCGCTTTTATCTGGCAACTTTCTGATTATAACTTGGCTTCCCGGGTTGGTGTGTAGAGCCCTCCTCTATGTGACAGCCACATCTCCCCCTGAAAGTAACACGCGATACCAGACTTGGGAGCAAGGTTCACGGGCATCCCCACACTCCCGGGTGCTCCTCTGGCTGCAGTGGCAGAGGGCCAGGTTGCCACTGCTTTGTGCCCCGCCCGGCCCCCCAGGCTCTTGCGGTTTCTGGTCATCTGCCAGTGATACTCTGATCCTATTTCATCTGAAGTTTCAAATTATTCTGGAGGATGGGAAGCACTGGTGCCCTCAGGGGCCCAGGGAGTAGGGAATGAGGTGAGAGAGGAAGACGAGGAGAAAAGGAAGGCGCCAAATATGAGAAACCAGAGAGAAGATGGGGAAGCGGGATTGAAGATGGGGCAACGCCTTCCCGGCTGAGACTTGGCCCACAAGAAACTGCCTCGGGCCCAAAAGCAGCCACCGCAGAGTGGACTGAAGGCAGGACTGCCCTCGGGGGAGCAGGACACCCGTATGGACCCCTTTAGAGGAGAGGGTGGCTCTGGAAGCGAGAGTGCTTCCTTCGATAACATTCAAGAACCTCCTCAAGGGGCCCAGTTCTTCCTAGAATACACAAAACCACCAGTACACCTGACACAGCGGCACCCTGAGGAGCACCAGACTGAGGGGCGGGGCTGGGTCTCAGGCCCCAGTGCTGACGCCAGCCAACTGCTTGACCTTGGGACAGTCATTTTGTTCCTTGTGATCTTGGTTTCCTCACTTATATTCGTAATCAGAACTATCATTTGCAAACCCTTTGTGGGTTACAGCGCATTTTCACACATAGCATCTCACTGGCTCACTTAAGCCTCAGATGTTAGGAATTGTTCTTTCCTTTCAGTTGCGGGAACTGAAGGTAGCAGATAAGGAGCCCAAGCCCTCCCAGCCCTGCCACCATGCATTCAATATAGCAACGAGCACTTCGAGGCCACGTGATGTTTTCTTCATTGAGAGGGGACCAAAGGGCAGGGCTGGGAAGGTGGGGAGCTGGGAGGATGGAGCACAGAGAGAGAGAGAACATGGCACTATCGGCTCCCCAGTTCCGTTGCTTGGTGACAGGAGGCCAGGGGACTGTGGATCAATGGGAAGCATGCTAAGCTGCTGCCAGAGCCTTGGGTGAGGCCCCTGGGAGGAAGAGACAAAGCCTGGATGGACAGATGGACGGGGCTTCATCTCCTAGCCCGGTCTCACAGCGCACTGCCCTGCAGCCTGGCGTTAACCCTCTCCCCTCCTCACCCTTGCTTTCCAGGGAGCTGGCTCCCAGATTACTGATGTTCGCTTCCCCCACCCCATTCACACGAGCCTTTTCCCTGCTCCCTGCGGTTTTTGCCTCACCCGGCCCGACCTGCGCTGAGCCCCACCTCTGTGAAAGCCTGCGGGCGGCACTGAAGAGACGCAGGCTTGAAAGTCTGGTTTGCCTGATCGTCCCGGGAAAACTTCCTGCCAGCTGAGAGGTGAGGCAGGAAACGTTGCTCCTTGTAGAAGAAATATCTTGAGGCATGTTGTTGGGCTGCTGCTGCATCTCACAGGGTGTGAGCCCTACCTGACCCTCTTCCTGGCCATGGCCGATTGGTCTAAGGGTAGACACACGATCCAAAGCGGCCCGTCATCTCACCTGTTCTGAGATTCAGAGTGAAGAGCAACAGGCAGCCCATCGCTTCTGCCTGCGGCCGGCACCAGAACACTTACTCTCTGACAGGGGGCTGCTGCGGCCCGCTGTGGGGACGGGGAGTCGGGGGGGGTGGCCCAGAAGTCTGTCCAAGGTGAAGGGAGGGTGAGAGAAAGAGAGAGGACTGAAGCAGGCACTTGAACAGAAGGAGAGAGTTGAGAGAGTATTTCCTGGGTGCGAGGGCTCCCTCAGGCCCGGGTCTAGTTAGTTCCTTCCTGAAGTCTGACTGGGAAGCCTGCTGTGAGGTTCTGCCTGGAAGGAGACTTCCTGGTATCCTTACAACAAATGCCTCCACTTTAACACTGAGTCCCAGTGGGTTTCTGATACGGGACACACCCAAGACTCCGGGGGCTCCCTCCTCCAGGCTCTCTGGAGCCCGCACTCCACCTCAGCAGCCCCTCCAAAGGCACACAGGCCCGCGCCTCCTCCCCCGCACAAGCCACGCATTCCCTGGTGGGAGTCCCCACACCCTGGGGATCAGGAGGCTCCTTCTCTGGCTTCCTCCCTTCCCTGAAAGCGTGCCTGCACGTGGCCCAACAACCAGCAATTTCTCTGATTGCACCCTCTTTTCAAAGGGTGTTTAATTTGCCTGAGGGAGTTTCTCTTGCTTACCAGGGAACGAACGTGTGCCACTGTGATAATTGGCATCTGCCAGATATTCTGCTTGCGTGGCCCTGGGCTGTACACTTGATACACAATTCTATCAGGAGTCAATGAGGAGAAGGGGCTGGGGTGGGAGGCCTCACTTCAGTGGCTCCTACACTCCGCTCCACCAGCAGGGCAGCCTTAGGTCCCCGCACTTCAGTGATTCGCAAAGAAGAACAAGCTTCTTTACAGTATTTACAGCAGTTCAGTGCCAGAAATGCAGAATGAGAGTGTGATATCCAACCCCGGGGCCCTCAAAGGAGGACTCTCATTTTTGGCATCTCTATATTCATCATGGGCTATTTGCCTCTTGAGAAGTAAAGAAATGCACCCCACCCCCAATATGGGGCCGTAACAGCTGGGTTATAAAGACTGAAGGATGCAAGAGCATGAATGTCTGATTATAACAGCAAGGTGGAGGGGTTTTCCCAGGTATGACCTCAGCAGCATCATGGCCATCGTCACTAGTCAGTTCTCTCCAGTGTGCTTTGCTCTGTGCAAACTCGAGCTCATCCTAACGCAGCCTGCTGAAATGCTTTGGGAGGGCAACTAATTAATTCCATGCAAAGACAAACCCAAACAATTGAATTTAAGAAACAAATGCCAGACTTTAAAAGACAAGACACATGAGTAGACTGCAAATGTTAAGAACTTGAACCTAGATAGTTTTTTAACTGAGGAGGAATTGTTATTAGCTGTCCCGTCCTGCCCCGTGCGGGTTGGACATGGCCCGTCTTCACAGGCACGCCCGAGCAGCATGCCAGCACCTGAGACTTCTTCAGCACGTCCTCAGACTTGGCCACTCACCTTGGAGAGGTCCACCAGGGTGTTGGCTTGGTCACTCAGCTTCCTCTGCTCCATCTTGACACTCCTCAGTCTGTGGGAGAGAGTTGCAACAGCCACAGTCTTCGAGTGCCTATTAGGGTCAGTCCCACAAGCAGTCTCCCCATTCACGTCAGTTCGTTTGGTTGTGGAACCCAGCGTGGGGACCTCGAACATGGGTGACACCTGACCAGCACCAAGGGCTTGTCAGGTCCCCCAGAGAGCAGGCTCTTGTCTCCATGCACGCTTGCCTCCCGTCACTCTGGTTTCCTCCCGGGCCGTTTTCCGGCTTCTCTGTCTCTAAGCTGTGCCCTCCTCCTCGGACGCTGTATTCTTGGCCTTTCAGGGTTTCCCCAAAACCTCCAGGTCAGAGCAACTGTTTTCGTCTTCTACTTTATCCCTGCACTTCTTCCCCAGCAGCCTGCCCAGGGTCTGGCAGGGGCAGGCGCGCCAGGTGGACAGACAGACCAACCCGTGTCCCGTTCACTGTGCCCCGTGCTCACTGAGTGGGAGAGGATGCATCTCTCCCGTGCCTCGGAGTGTACGAGGAGACACTGTGGGGTCCCAGCCCCCCTCTTTGGGGCCCAGCTTCCCCGAATACTCACTGGTGGATGGCCTGCAGGAACTTCCTCTGGTGCTTCCTGACCTTGGCGTGGTCGATCTTCTTGAGCAGCTTTGTGTGCTTATAGATGAGCCACGTCTCCCGCAGGACATTGGCCGCAGCATTCTTGATCTAAGGGAAAGTGTGCGAAGCAGGTGCTCTCAGACTGGTTTCCCCAGTTTCACATGTTTTTCTGTTTGCTGATACAGTCTACTTTATCAGGAAACAATTCTGCAGTGATCTAATTCCTTAATCAAATCATGAACTCTTAGAATGGATAATTAAAATTCATCTCCTACTAATCCGGTATTAGACGCAGTACACCGGAGCCTGAAGTTCAGGGGTGTTTCCTGTTCCTTTTTAATTATTTCAGGACTGCCTCCCGACTGCTGCTGCTGCTGGTGCTATATTTAGACAAGCTGTGTTAACAAGACCTGGGGGCCCCGGGCTCCCTTTGAACAGATAAATATATACCACTGCTGCCCTCGCATGCAGAGTTCCGGCTCTACCTGAGACTTCCACTTCATGCACACAGCACTTTCTCGCACTCAGAGAGTAAACAGATTTCCTATCAGCTGGAGATCTTTCCAGCCCTCTTTGAGGAAAAGCCTTTTCCACCAAACGGAACTATAGGTGTCAATGAGACTGTTGTTTCTTTCCCCAAATGGCCAAAAACACTTACACTGCAGTTTTACATGGAACTGTGCATGGCACTGAATGGGAATAATGTAAACCAGTATCTGAGAATCAGTGCAGATATCTGGTGTGAAAACAGAGCTGCCTCTCGCCCAAGGCCGGCTCCTTCGCTGTGCACTGCAATCACACGTCTCGACATATGACGCTGTCATCTGTTGGCATGGAAACCGCTGATATCACCCGGCCCGAGACTGAGATGAGACATATCAGTGGCATCCAGATGGCTGGGGACAAAGTTTCAGTCCAAACACAGACATCTTCAGCAATTAGTAACAAGAGCAAAAGGAAACATTTCTTATTAAGCACAAGCTAAACAGATTTTTGGTTAACCATCCCCACTTCCGTCAGCCACACACACTGGCACAGGCCCACAGGCCCGGGGCCTGGAAGTAAGTAGGCCAGCCTCGCAGAAATCAAGTTACTAGCCAGCAAGGATTTTTAATAAAACTGGGGAGCACAGGCCTGCTCCTTCAGACTGACAGCAACAGATGGGACGTCATTAAAACACTGAGACATGTGGGGAGGCCTAGGAAACATCGTTTTGCAGACTGATGACTTTTGTGTGTGTATGTTTTAAAAATTTATTACTAAGGTTGGATTACATTTTTCACTGGCGCAGAAGTGATGTTTTTAAAAGAACAGCTAAGTCTTCTCAGAAACGTCTAAGTGACATGAATATATTGCTTTTTTTGTTCAGTAAAAATCCACTGTGAAAATGGTTTTAAGGACTTAATTGTCCACCCCTATTAATTTCTTGCTCAAAAGGAAGCAGGTAACGGTGAGTATAAGCTAGAAATAGTAAGTGTGCAGGTGAGAAGTGGGGAGGTGGAGGAGGGGGTGGTCTGGGGTTCTGCCCAGGGCCCGGAGTGGACGGCGGCCAAGCCACACAGAGGGGAACCCCTTCTCTCTGCATAGCATGCACCCCTGTCTGTGGGGAGGCAGTTGGACATGTGACCTCTTCAGTCCCCCGGATGCTTAGCCTCCCAGGGAAGCCTCACAGAGAAGCAGCAGGGAAAACCCGCCCCGCATTTAAGGCGGCCAGCAGGGCCCCAGCTCCGGGTCTCCTCTGCGGACGGACGGACAGAAGGACGGACAGATGGGGAAGGAGTGTGGGTGCTGATGGGCCTTTGACAATTGTCTCTGTGTGGTGTGGGACAAGCATTTGCAATTGAAAAGCCTGCAAGTGAGTTCCTGCTCCAGCAGTTATTAAGCAGTTGAGGGCTAAATGCTTAATTATCTGTAAGATGGGAGAAACGAATCCCGACTTCAAGGGTTGTCATGAAGCCCAAGTGAGGCAGTGACAATGGTGCCGACGGTGAGGCCAACAGCTAGCGTTGCCAGGCACAGGCCTGTGGACCTCACGTGCGCGAACTCAGGTGGTCTGCACAAGCCCATCGGGCAGGTGCTGACATTACCCCCATTTTAGAGATGAAGAAACTGAGACACAGACCGAGACCGTCAAGTTCAAAATGACAAACTGAGTCGACATGGACTAAAGAGTTACAACCTGTAAACATACTGACATTGGTTACTATCATCTGGCCTAAACCCTGCTTTAAAAGGAAATAGCTTCAGAGACGGGACGTGAGGGCCAGACTCACACAGCCAGCCAGCGGCAAGGTCAAAACAGAACCAGGTCCAAGAAGAGCAGAAGGTTTTCGTGAGGTCTGAAGAAAGACCTGGCTAGGTTTCATCTCTACATAAACAAAATTATTTCCTGTTTTCCAGGATCAAGGCATTGGAAAGGACATTAGAAACTTTTGCATCGTCTTGGCCTCCACTCCCTGATGATAGGACAGGGCGTCTACGTCCCGTACGTAGTGTCAGCCCAGAGGCGAGTTGCTGAGGCCCCAGCACAGCCCGGGTGGCTCACAGAGGCAGCCACATCCTCTTTATCGGTGTGAACAGGACACCCCTGAGTATTCGGGAAAGTGATGTTAAATACGATCCTTGGTGCTGACGCTGAAATTAATTGCCAGCAAACAGCCTGGCACAAAGCTAAGCAGATCAATATCTGCTAGAGGAGAAGAAACAGGCTTTTAACAGCACTGTGCCTTCCCAGGGTGACAGTAACCACTGCTGTGACCAGGCTGTCCCTTCAGTTCACCTGGCTGATGAGCATCATTAGGATGGGGAGCAGCTGAGGTTGTGTGCCTTCCCTGGGATTCGCTGAGCTCTGGATGGGAGCCTGGAGACCCTCTGAGCTCTCCTGGTGGGAGGGGCCACCAGGGTTTAAAGGCGGTCCTGGGGGTGGGGTGGGTCAGGGCACGGGGCAAACCTGAGCGAGGCTGGCGGCCAGCAGATGGGTTCAGGGGTGGTTAGAAGAGGGCCTTTGTGCGTGGAAGCTGGCCGTCCAGTTCCCCAAGCCCATAAGCCCAAGAGTGGATTGTTTCCTCCCCATATGTTCTCTACCAAAAAAAATGTATGTTTTCATCCCGGTGAAGGCCAGGGACGGGGCTCAGTGACCTATGTACTTTAGGAGGGGCTCTAAGATGAAAGGGGTTGAGTAAGGGAGCCATCCAAATGCGGTCTTGCAAATAATAGTGAGAGCTGACATTGACTGAGCACTTACTGTGTGCCAGGCTCTGCAAAACACTTGGTGTTTACGGTGTTTTATCAGCTCTCAGAAAACCCTCACAAGTAGATGCAATTATTATCTCCTCCTTGGACCTGTTACAAAACCTCTCTGAGACTCAATTTTCTTACTAATGAATGAGGAAAACTTTTCCCGAGCCCCTACAATGGGGCAGACACTGTTCCGGGCAGTGAGGATACCAGGATGTACAAACCGGTAACGTTCAAGCCCTCATGGAGTGTACCAGCTTGTGGAGACCACACGCAGTTTATAACACAGCATCAGGCAATAAACACTTCAAGAGAAAGTTTCAGCAGGAAGGTGTCTGGAGATGATGCAAGTGCTACAGGTCTGTAAAATGGGATTGTAGGGTCGATTAAATGAGAATACACTTCAAACACAGCAGTCTGGCCACAGTGGTTTTCGACACACAGTACCTTCATTAATATTCTCCCTCACACCAAATAAACGTCAGCCTCTTTCTCTTCCTTCCTTGCTAATGAGAGAAAACATTAAACAGAACACACGAGCCTGCTCCTTGAGCTCGTGGCCACATCGCCCATGTCAGGGCTTGCTCTGGCCCCTCTGCCAGGGTGACGTGCCACTGGGTACCGGGAAGGGACTGAGAGCTGCAGGCGGAACACGGGACAGGATGACACAGGCACCCGTGCTGGACTCTCCATGTCTCCAGAAGCCACGGGGAGACCTGGGGAATAGTCGCAGGAGCCCCACTGAAGACATCGCCAGTACGCCCGCTGCCCTGCCAGGAGTCCTGCCCGGGGAAAGGGTGTTCCCGGGGAGGCTGGAGAAGGGGGTGGGGAGGGAACGTGAGACTGCAGGTTAAGTGTGACTTGACTTGAAGGACTTCCACAGCCTGCATTTAGGTTAACTGAGAGCTTGTGGACATCACAACCTGAGAACCTAAAGCCAGCTCCATCTGTCTGCAGACTCCTGACGGAAGGTGTCCGTTGGACACACAGCTGGGGAGCAAGGCTGGCCTGCCTTCCCCTCGGCCAGCCCCGCCCCACCTCACCCTCGCCGCCCAACTCCCTGCAGCTGCCATCTCTTCCATCTCCCTTCTGACACCCTCTCCCCTTTCTGTCCCATCCTTTCCCCACTCCCTCCCCAGGCTTCTCTGCCCACGTCACCCAGTAGCCAGCCCTGAAGGGAGGCTCCAGCCCCGTGATCAGTGGGAAATTAGGGCAGGGAGAGAGAAGAGATGAATTTCCATGGTCCAAAATTGGAGTCTGAAGCTCTTTCCCCACCGCAGCATGGTAATGCACGGTGGCTGATTCTATAATGGTATTTACACGATCTCAATGAGGTCGGAGCTAAACTGGCTCCTCTCTGCAGCAGGCTTGGGATCCTAACCCCATGCAGTTTCAGGGAAATGACTGCTCTGGAGAACCCGCTGGGTGGCGGCCGGAGAGCTGCCCGCAGGCCTGAGACCAAACTGCTGCCCCGGCCAGGACCTCGCTGGCCGGGCACGGCCGCCCTCGCTCCTCAGTGGGCCGGCAGGCGCAGCCCTAAGGGTCCTCCCAGCTCAAAAGCTCAGTTTCTCTGATGACTGTCCCAACCTGTGTGGTACAAAGCCCTCATTAGTAACAGAATTTCCAATGCCCTTCTGAGGAGAATTAGCATTCCCAGTACCTGCTCCATCGATTATCTGGTGAATTGTAAAGACATTCAGACCTATTCTGGGAATCCACTCTGGGGACCGACCAGCGTCAGCCCTGAGTCCAGCGTCCCTTCGCCAGCCCTTCTGCACCGGGTGCAACCACGCGCCTGTCTTTTCCTATACAATGTCCTGCCGTGAGCAGGCCTTTGAGTTGGTCTGCTGGACAAAAATTTCTGCTTTTCCAGCAGGATTGTGATAAAACTCTGACATGTGCTCATAATTAAAGAGAAGTTTTCTCTAGCATTGTCCAGTGGGTGCAGAGGGGTTACTGAAGGTTTCTGAACAGGGCGCTGATTCGTTCAGAGCTAAGCCTTAGATCTAAGGAGGTCCTCAGGGAGGCGAAGGGGAGGATGACTGGGGGGAGGAGGCCCAGCAGGGGCAGAAGAGACAGCAAGCAGCCGCGATGGGGCAAGACTGGGTGGGGCTGAGGGCCTGGGGAGCCCCACGTCTGAGGATGGCTGCAGCCTCGGCAAGGTCGAATCAGGCCCATAAACCACTTGTGCCCCCATGGGTTCAGATGGTGCTAAGTTTCCAGGCCTGAGGAACACACCAATGATGTCTTTAGCTGACCAGGAAGTCAGGAGAAGGAACTAATTTAGGAAGGACATGGGTTTGGTTTTGGTCTGGCTCATTGATTTCACGGGGAGATGTGCTTGGATGAAGTATTTGGAGCAAGAGCCCCTGTGGCAAGGATAAAGAGATGCATCAGCAGCCAGTGGCACACACCGGCTGCTGCTGGGAAACAGCGCCTCCTGACCAAGGCGCCTCTCGGGCCCCGGGCGTCCCTGGGCAGCCCGTCCTGCCTTTAGAAAGGGGAGGTGCTCTCTGAGGGCAGGCGGTAAGGATGAGGGGAGGAACCACCCCTTACCCGTCTTGATGTCCCGAGTGGTGACCCTGTGACTGATGTGTTTAGTTACGTAAAACGGAGAGATGGGGACATGTAGTGTCAAGTGGGAGAAAAGATGGGGAACTAACATCTTTTTTACAGTCTCTCTGCGTGTCATTTATATACATATTATCTAACGGCCCAGAGGTTAGCAATAAATTATAATTATAGAGTAACAATGGTAGTAAAACCGCAAAGTCAGTGCGAGAAAGTCTAATGGCATTAAATACAGACATGATGTTGTCACCAGGGTTGACAAGTTAAACAAGTGAAAGGAGAAAAGCTTTGGGGTTCAAGAAAACCAGAAACTGAGTTCTTACCCTGTGCCCCCAGGGACCCCCGTCCTCCCCCAACAAACACAGAAAAACCGTGTGACTCTCGTAGTAAAGGCTGGGCCGAAGCTGTCACAGCAAGACAGACAGGATGATTATACACAAGAACAGTTTGAATATTTTTATGATGAGTAGGTTTCAGTTCCCCGTGGTGTTTTTGCTTAGCTGTCTGAAGGACAAAGTTTGCACACCCTGGTGAGAGACTGCTTCTAACTGTGCAACTGGACTGTCTGCTAGTGAGAGGGCAGGAACCACAGCACGACTGGCCCCGCCCACAACCCGACCCCTCTCTGCGACCTCACGGTCAGACTGAGCCTGGCCTCGGACCCACAAGCCACCTCAGCTGGACGCACCGGGCCACGTGGAAGGGACAGGAGGTGGATAAGGCATCCCCAGGGAAAGAAGGTGGGATTCTCCGAGCAGACGGTGTTTGCAGCCAGTTTCCTTCAATCAAGATTATGTTGCAGGCCCTGGCTGGCGTAGCTCAGTGGATTGAGCATGGGCTGCAAACCAGGCATCGCAGGTTCGATTCCCAGTCAGGGCACATGCCTGGGTTGCAGGCCATGGCCCCCAGCAACCCCACATTGATATTTCTCTCTCTCTCTCTTTTTCTCTCTCCCTTCCCTCTCCAAAAATAACTAAAATCTAAAAATGAACAAAATATTTTTAAAAAAAGATTATGTCACAGAACCTTTGGGTGTCCCAGTCCCACCAGCCTTGAAGCCCCCCACCACCAGAACCATCCCCTTCACGTTATTTGGTTCTCTGGGAAAAGGCAGTAGACATTAAAGGGACATTTCGACAGATTTACATGTTCTCAGGAAAGTGAGATGTGATTTGATTTAAAAGGAGCCGTGCACCCATGAGTGAGCAACAAATATTTGTTGATTTGATTTTCAGTTCTGCTTTGGAAGGAGTTAAGTGGACTGAGTTGAGGAGGATTTGAGAGAATTATTCCTGAAAGACCGAAATTAGCAACCACAATCTCATCTCCTTTGCAATTGTGTTGCAGAAAAATTTATTATTTTCCTGTCATTGGAGGGAGCTGGCTTCCCTCGGCTTATTCCCCTCTGCAGTCTGATTTACACAGTGAAACACAGGGAGGGCAAAACAAACAGCATGAAATACAAGTACATCCTTGGTTTCCAAAAGCAAACCAGAACAGAGAAACTGTGGACGTCTCTGCTCTAAACAAACAGCTTCTGAGAAGGTTTTGGAGGCAGAACTCTGTTGCCCTTCGCTCCTGCACTAAATCATTTCAGGAGAGCAGATACAAGTATATTTGCATTTAGGCGTTCCAACCACTTCTGTGATTCTCTCAGTACCGGCCATAACTTCCGCCTGCGTCCTGCGGGCCCGAAAGAGGGCAGCAGGGTCACAGGGCTGCGGGCAGAAGCCTGCTGGCCTGCCCCCGGGGGCAGGTCTGCCATCCCGATAGTACAGGCTGTTTGCTTTCGCCGGTGGACAGCTCGGGTCTACTATGTACCACACACAGTGGGTCTTCACTTAACATTGTCAACAGGTTCTCGGACCTGAGACGAAAAGATGGGTAAGGAGACCAGTGTTACCGCAGGCTACCACAAACAGAACTGAGTTCCGGCAGCATGACGAGAACGTGGTAATACAGCATCGCGGTTTGAGGCGCTGCTGTGCAAACACCTGCATGCCAAGAACATAAGAAGGGCTGCCTGTGCTCTCGCCCTGTGACACCTGTGGAGGCTCTTCAGAGAAGCCAATACAGGTAATCAAAGACCAAACAATCACGCACCATAAATAAATCTGCTGAGACACTGGAGAGGCCTTGGCAACCACGCGCTCTCCCCTGCCTTCTCCGAGAGCTCTCTCGCCCTCTGCCATTGTCCTCTCTCTTTCCGTTCTGCTTTCTGTCTTTGTCTCTAACACGCTTTTCACTGCGCCGCAACATCGATCACTGAATATGTGCTCTAGCTTTCAAAAACCCAAATCAAAACTGAGTCACTACGGGCCTTCTACCCACTCCAGTCCTGCACGAGAAGCACTTGCTGGGGCGGCCACGACCCCAGCACAGGGTTTGGACCCTCGCCCATCTCAGAAAGGGGGGTTTTCCCAGGAAATCCTGTGATGACCTTCGTTCAGCCTGCAGCTCTAAAAGAATGGTCCACCATTCCTTTCGCTGCCATGAAACAGTCACTCCTGCCTGCTTGTCTCTGCCTCTGCTAGACGGGCCCTTCTCCCCGGGCAGCCCAGTGGGGTGTCAGACTCTCCACTCTCGGTGCCCTCTCCACCCCTGCCTGTGTTCAGTGTGCGTTCTTCTCAGCCACTTTCATTAGGGGGGCACGTGAGGAACATTAACTGGAAAACCCAAAAGGGAAAGTTGGAAAACGACATTATTTGGGAATGTGGGCCCCACAGCAATGGTTGTCTGTAATGATTTTTTAAAGGCCTGGATTTAGGTATATTTCCAGTACTATTCTTAAGAGTCTCCACTGCCCTTCCTCCTGAGAATCATGAAAATATTTGAGCATAAACAAAACCACTGCTTTGTGCAGGGTGATTTATTCAATTACCATTAGGCAAGGTGGCAGGTTACACCACCGTATGCTTTAGACTTGACTGTCAGGAAAATGATTCGGTTGCCTGAACTGTGCACGGACGTGTAAGAGAAGACAGGACCCGGAACACCAAGGCGTGTGCCTGTTTTGTGGAGGCAGGTGGTCAGTGTCCAGGGTCCCCAGCCTGCACCACGTGACTACTGCCTTTCTGATTGGCCCCCACACGGGTCTGAAGTCCCCCATTAAGATGTGGACGGCGGTGCTTTACCCGTTTGGTAAGCTGAGTGTCCATCATGAAGTTGTGAACATGCTTCTCCGCTTTGGTGAGCTCCAGCTTCCGGGCCACCACGGCCACCACGAGGGCAGTGCAGCCCGCACCCTGCAGGAGGACAGCAAGAGGATGGAGAGAAAGCACATTATTCACGACAAGATTTGGGCAGAAGACTCAGTGTGCCCCGTGACCACTGTGGGGGTCCTGGGGCTGCAGTGGGAACCTGAGCTCTCTGGCTGGCCAAAGCCACAAAACCTGTCCGGGCCCCGATTCCTGTACCTGGGGAGGGGTCTGCAATGCTCCTGGCCTAGCTGCAGAGCTGACTTCCGGGAGGCTGAGTCTTCACAGGACTTGCCAGTTCCTAATGGAGCTGGACACTGAACGTGGCTGAAGCTTTGGGGAATTTACAACAACAAACAATCGTCTGGTCACCTGCCAGGCTGTGTGGGGATTACAGAGGGGCTGGCGCACACTCAGGCCCACTCTCCCGCGGGTACGTCTCACCCCTGCTGCCAGTTCCAGACTGGGGGGCCCAGGAGGAAAGAAGGCCACACATATGCTGGAGTATCGGCCGGAACACCTGATGGTGGGGAAGAGTTTTCCTGAAAATAATCTAATAAAGAAGCAACACATTCTCCCCCAGATCACTTGCCAGGGGAACGAACACTGGTGGCAGCAGTCTGTTTGCTGGACTCTGTTCGCTGCTCAGCTGAGCCTCTCTACCTGGAGATCTGGCTGTGACTCAGCACAGGAAGTGATTCTGCCTTGCTTCACCGGGAGGCTCATGAATTCACCGGCTTGCAGAGATTTTACAGATGGCAACAGTCTTGCCTCAAACCGGGACTCTAAGAGAACCTGCAGGGGGCCTCGGTATTTTCCAGAGCAGTGTTTCTATTCTGCTGGGGTAGGTCCATTCCAGGGGGGTACGGGGAAGGCGGGCGGTAAAAGAAGCAGGGTTCCCCAGGGCTCTCTCTCCAAATCCTCCGGGCGCATGCTTGGCTGCGTGGGAATGAGCAGCAAAGGGAAAGTGGCTCATTCCAACGCTCGCCCGACGGATTTTCAAGTCCCCTCCACTGTGCTTCTTCACTGGCCTGCGAGCACTGGGGAGTGAGAGAACCACTCCTCCCCTGCTTCTTCCGTCGCAGCAGAAGCCAGACCCGCCCTTGCCCGGTTCTTGGAAGAGAGCACACTCTCCTCGGGGCCATCACCCTCTTCTGCCCCCTGGGGCCTGGACCATCCTGACCCGCCACTCAAGGAAAGAGGCGATAAGATCAGCAGCGTCAACAGTCATCCTCAGCTGCCACAGCGATTAGAGTGGCCGCAGAGCCTCACTCAGCAGTTGAGGTTCCAGGACCAAAGGACTCAACCAGTAACAGCTTGGCCCATCGGGTCTAAAAGAGTGTGCTGGGGGCGGTAAAGAACGGTCTCAAAGGTACGCCGCCTACACCAAGTGGGCAGATCAGTGCCCTCCTACCTCCTTTATAGTCTTTCTTTCCTTCTCCCCAGGCTGGCAAAGGCTAGTCCGTGTAAGGTTTGGCATGGCTGAGGTTGGCTTTCACAAGGGTTCTCATTCAAATAATCTCATGTTCCTTGGTACACTTGGTCATTTGGTCAGCTGCCGATGGGCCACCCATTTCTAGCCCAACAAAATGGAAGGAACTTAGTCTCTGTGCATCTCCCTTTCCTGACCTCATTTTCCTTTCTTGTTCAGGGATGGCTGCGTTTTCTCGCCGTCTGTGACTTGCAGGAGGCGCAGTGCCCAGTTCTCAAAGGGTAAGTATGGGAGGCCGGGCAGCCCAGTCTGTAGCTGTAATCAATTTAGCCAGGCCTCCAACGGCAAAAAATAACTTAAAAAGAAGCTGTCCTAGAGGGCAGGTGTGTGCTCAATTCTGCTCAGCCAGATCAAGTGTAATCACTCTCCTTTGTATGGCATCCCAAAGGTGCTTTGGGCCAAAAGCCCAAGAAGAGGGATATATCACAGCGGTGAAAATGGAATGTCAGTGGAGAGGGTTCTCCTCAGGCTCCATGTTCGCCCATCTCTTGGGGTCCAGGCAAAACCCCACTATATCGCCCCGGAAAGCTGGGGGCATAACCCGTCTGAAGAGGGAGTCGCCCTGCTCACCATACACACCACTCAGGGAATTTCATCAAAACAGTCTCTCATCCACCCTCCCAACTGTCCAGGGTCAGGAAGAGTGCTCCGTGGTCTCTCCACAGCTCATAGCACAGCATCTTGAATGCAGGAGGCTTCTGATCAGAAGCTAGAGTGTTTTAACCAAGGAGCCATCTATCTTCCATGATTAAGACAAGTGTCTGCATGGGGGCAGCAGGGTGGACTAGATGACGATCCCCAGCTCCTTTCTACTCAAACACAGCAAGACTCTCCGGAGGATGCTGGGCTCTTAACCCCTAAGTCTAACTTGAAGAGAAACCAATGGATACTCCCAACTTTGCTTTTCCTTTAGAAAATCCATCATATGGATGTAGTTAGGGAAGTTGCCAATAAGTAAGCCTAACTCGATCATTTCCATTAAGAAGTGGCCTTACAAAGATGGGAGTCTGATCTTGCAACCTTCAGAAAGTGGTGGGCAGGGTGCTGAAATCCAGACTGTGGTCCTCTCCAGGGTGTGTGTGTGTGTGTGTCTGTGTGTGTGTGAGAGAGAGAGTGAGAGAGAGAGAGAGAGAGAGGGAAAGGAGAGGGGAGGGGAGGGGAGGGGAGGGGAAGGGAAGGGAAGGGATGAAGGGAAGGAAAGAGAGAGGACACAGAGAGGGAGCTGGAGTGGAGACCGAGACAGGGAGCGCTGTGCTCCATCCTCAACAGCATGGAACAGAACAGGGAAAGAGGAAAGGAAGAAGCCGAGGCCTAAGAAAAAAGGTGGGTCGATGGGATTGAGAGGAATGCAAGAAGAACAAGGAGCCCAAGTCAAAAAGTTAACGGTCAACTTCCGCTCTTGGGAGGAAATGAAGGCAGTGCTACGGGATCCCTCACCCTCCCGTCGTGTTCACCTCTAAGTGATGTGATGATCACCTGTGTTCCTTTCGGGATCATGAGCCTTCTACTTTACCATTCACAGTCTGGTGTTCCCAGGGTGGCAGCCTGGGAAAACCTGTGGGATGTGGCAGAGATGCAGGCTGGTTTTAAGAGACGAATTGCTGAGGACTTGGCGGATTTCGGGGTGTGAGAGTGCACGCTGTCCTGGCCTGGGATCTGAGAAGTGGCTGCTGGGCAGAGAGGGCATGGGAGGAGAGAAGGGGTGGGGCATGCCAGGGTCAGCAGCTGCTGGCACGGCTTCCATGGGTCCGACTCTGGAGATAATCCGGGACTCAGACTTTTGCCTTCAGATGCACCAAGCCCTGAATCCCAGCTGACACCACCTGCGTTCCCTGGACCTTCTCCACCCAACCCCCATTTCCACAGGAGGGTGGCAGGAGGAGGCAGGGTCCACCTCTCATGAGCTCCTACCGTCCAAGGTGCATGGTGAGAAGGAGCAGCAGTGAGCAGCAAGCGAGTGGCTGCCATGGGGCGGGGGGCACGCCTAACTCCTCTGAGGATTCAGACCCAAACCAGACACCCAGGCTCCTCACACTGCTCCTTCCACTTCTTATTTCCAAAACACATTTCTAGCTGGAAAACCTTAGACTCTGGAAAACAAGTACCCCAAGGGGAAAAGTATGAGGTGTTCTTAACTAAAGGAGCACAAAATAAAATAAAACATAAATGAAAGTGACAAATGGAAGAGAAAAGCCTGGAGGATTTACAGTTGGATTCTGTTTCTGCAACAGATTCCATGTAACAACTAAAATAACATCAATTGGTTTGAAACCAAGGTGTTCTAGGGAGAGGCTCATCCTCCAAAACTGACAGTAGGCAGACCTCTTGCTGAGCCCTCCCTTCCCTCCTCCCGAAATGACTCAGTCTGTGCTGCCTTCCACTTCATCATCACTTTCCTTTTGCAGTTCAAAGAAGCATCGCTCATGGAGCCTTGGGGAAGAGCCCAGTGTCCCCAGCAGACAACCTGGAAGCTTTTGTCTATTTGTCCGTAATTTGTCCACAAGTGAGTCTGGTTTAGAAAATGGCTATTTTGAAAGAGAGTTGTCGCGGGGGTCCCAAAGGTCCCCCGTGTGCCTGCAGAACCAAAAAAGCTCCGAAGGCATCTCTGTAGGCTTCGCTGTCATTTCCAATTCTGGACTAAGTATCGAGAGCTTTCTCTCTGCATTGTACTTGTTATCATAAAATTCTTTGTGGAGATACGCCGGACTTTGATATACCAGCTTTTGCAGGTGAAATCTCTCACACACGCCAGGTCTGCGCCAACAATGTCAAGTTGTTCAGGCAATTATATACCCTGTTTAATGGTTGGTAATTACACCGTTACTGCGATTGCCAAGAGAAAACAATGATTAAGACTATTTACAGCCCTCACATACAAATCTTTCCTTTCCCTCCCCAGCAGGCCTTGTCTTGGCCTGCATGGTGTCCATGGTAACCAAACAGGAAGCTGTACCTTTAGTTAAGGCACTTGCAGTAATATTCAAGAGATGAATGCAGTGCCCGAAAGCTGGGGGAGGGGACAAGAAGATTTTCAGCAACCCAAAACCCTGGAAAGGAGTGACTCAGCTACAAAAGTCACACTTGTTAGAGAAATGCCACTGGTATTCCTCACTGTGGCTGACCCCAGAGGGAGGCAACCGACTTTAATTTGCATAAAAACACTGAGATGAATGGAGGAAACCTCCCTCTTCTGTGTTGGGGAGGGGGGTGCAGGTTTGTGCAACAGGGTTCATGCAAAAGGAGAAGACGGAAGTTATGTTTTCACTGTGGGGGGTGCCTCGGCTCCTCCTCACCCACTTGTTCTTCCCCCTTTGACCACAACTCTCTCTTCAAGGAACGAACACTCCCTTCCAAGAAGCTGCTACAGAACAGGGGCAAAAAGGGTGCTGAGGGCCACACTCCAAGAAGGCCAGGAGGGGACCCAGGGGCCCTGCCTGCCCCACTCACTTCCTCTGAGAAGCCAGGAGGTGCTTGCCAGGGCGAAGGCATCAGGGAAATCGTGGCCAGGAGGCTGCTCCCTGGATGGGGCACAGCTCCTTACTGGGAGGGTGAACGGCTGATATTTAAAAATAACAGAGGCTCCCAGCGGGCTCCTCCACCTAGTGCCCCCCCACCCCACTGCCTGTCCACGGGCTCCGTGCGCCCTGGCGGAGCACCAGCTCTGTGGCACGAAGCCCACCACCCAGGAGCTGCTCTAAGACAGGAAAGCGCTGGCCTTCAGGCGGGTGGCATTTCGTTCCTTTCTGGAAGGAAGACTCATCCCCTGGTTTCCTGGTGACAGCTGGAGCCGTGCCAGATGGACTCCTACTAACCAACAGGAGGTGTTTGCTCTGAGGCCTTACACTCACCCAATATTTATCCCAACCCTGGGCGCTAAACCTTTTGTCACTAACTGCTGTCCGGGAGGATCTGCCTGCTAGTGTACCCCTGCCTGGACTTCAGTGGAGAAGGACAGAGGACTGTGCTCCGTGGTGCAATGACAGTGCTGGCCCCTCCTGTGGGCAGGGCCCCTGGCCCCTGGCCCCTGTTCTGAGCCCCGAGGCCTGGTCACCGAGACCAGTCCTCGTAGGCCACCCAGGAGGCCACCAGGCTGAGGTAGGATGGGCGTGGGCAGCAGCCCCCATCCCTGGTGAGGAGTTAATCCCCTTTCTGCTGCAGAAAGAAATCCCTCTCATTTCTAATGGCAGCCTTTCTTCTTCCCAGGAGAATGAGTGAAAGCCGAGGGGCCCTTGAGAGGAAGGGTCTCCATGGGTCGAGGGTAATGAGGGTGTAGAGAAGGCCCCTGGGGAGGCCTGGGACAAGCTGCAGACATCCTGTGCACCTCACACCCCGCCGTGACCGCAGTGGTGCCCGGGCTGTGATGGGGCTTTCCTCTCCGCAGCCTGTGTTCCAGGATTCTGGGAAGGAGGGCAGAGAGCAGTGGACCGCCTGTCCTGGACCTAAAGCTCAAGAGGCCAAGGTGCCTCATCACCTGGCCAGGAAAGGAGAGGTGGAGGTCGGGGACGCTGAGGACTGCCCCAACCCTGATGGCGTGTGCAGTTCCTGCTGCTGGAGAAGCACGTGAACACTAAGCCATGCGTCCCCCTCACCAGCCATTCGGCGCCCTGTCCAGCACAGGCGCCCTGCCCAGCGTCCACAGGGAGGTTGGCAGTGGGAATTCCGACTGCAGTTCTGAGCCCCCACCCAGGCCCCTCCCACACACAGTGCGGTGACAGCCAGGGGATGGGCAGCATTGTGTGTCGGCTCAGGTGGCAGGACAAAGGGCAGGAAAGGCCCGCCTGGAGGGGACGCAGCCTGGCTGGGGGAAGGAGGGGAGGGAGTCACAGCCTAGCCGACGCCAGAGCTGGGCAGGGCCTGGCGCTTGGAGCCCAGCACCCCAATATGCAGACATGAATGCCAAAGTCTAGGGGGGTTAAGAACTGGTGCAGAGCCAAGGAACCAAACCAGGGGCCCGCCCAGAGCGGGACACAGCCCGGGGCTGCTGCCCCAGTCCCTGCCTCTGTGAGCTCATGGGTGTGGTGCCGAGGTCCCTGCGGCCCAGGGGCAGGAAGGACAGCAAGCCCAGATGCTCGCTGGGGGCGAGCACACTGGGCAGTGGGGCGGTGTGGGCGGGGGGAGGGTCAGACCCACGGCCAGCTTTGTCCAGCCCGGTTCTGGCAGGGCTGTGAAGAGACCATTCATTGTCAGGAACCAGGGCCTATTCCAATCTTGGAAAAGGAAATGAAAAAGTAAGAAACCATTGCAGATTTCACATCTGCCTTTCTGTGTACAGAGACATGCATGCTGGCCTGCTAACTGACTGCTGGCCCCAGCCCCTGACCAGGAAGGCCCCCTGAGCTCACTCCACAAGAAAGAGCTCTCATTCGGAGGGCGGCGAGGAGTCATGCGCAGAGGCAGGTACTCACCATGATGCCGGTGAGAAGACAGACACCTTTCCCACAGTACGTGTGGGGCACCATGTCCCCGTAACCAATGGAAAGGAATGTGATGGAGATGAGCCACATGGCACCCAGAAAGTTACTGGTTACGTCCTGCTGGTCGTGGTACCTGCCAAGGGGAGGACAGGAGTTAGTCCATGGAACTGCCGTCCTGAGAGCAAGGCCAGGGCAAATCTGGGCGGGGAAGGACATGAGTCCGTTTGCTGAGGCGCGGGCAGCAGCAGTGGCGGCGCAGAGACCTCTCTGGGAGACGGAAGGCGCCACAACTCTGCCCCCCCAGCTCCTGCCACAGCCTCCCCCGTCCCCCCATGCTTGGTCCCAGAGGTCAAATGCTATGTCATTTGCACCATGTGGTAGATGTCTCTCTGGGGCTGGTAAAATAGCTTTGGATGAAATCATGTGGTAATAAAATTTAGATCTTCCTTTCAAGCTGACAGTCTAAATGTATGTAGATGTGATTAATCTGAAATCACAAGCTCCCGAACAGGGAAAATGTCAAAAAGAAAATCACCGAATACATTTAGCAATTTCCTCAAGGTTGATGGATCCCCAAGACTGGCACCTCCCACCGTCTGGAGCGGGGCCAGGCAGGTTCTCGTGGAGCTGTTTCCAGGGGCGGTTCTGGGCTCTCCACAGAGGGGCCCATCTACATCTCTGAGGCCTTGTGGCTGCCACACCCTGGGAGCAGCCAACTGAAAACGTATCACCACCGTTCTCTCTGCCGACGCCCATTCCACCCCATCCTTTCCCGGCCTCCCTCCATCCCCGAACACCAAGGCCTTCCATGTGCTGTGTGCCGGGCTCCAAGCCGGTACTGAGAGATGCCCCGCCTCAGGGGGCTCAGCCCAGGCAAGGAGCCCATGGAGGAGGCAGACATTTGCAGAACGGTCAGTTAATGAATTGATGAGGTACCTCGGGAACAGGAAGAAAAGGACAGTGACCTTTGTCCCAAACATAGGAGGGTCAGCCAGAGGGGGCTGTTGTGCAGGCAGGCCCGAGAAGGGTGCTCCAGGCCGAGGCAACGCCTGAGGAAAGCCCGGACCCTGCCTGAGCATAGCAGCGGCTGCTGGCTGCAGGGGGCGGCAGGGCAGGGGGCATTTCCCGGAATGTTCTCTAACCGGATCAGCCTGGATGATGTGCAAGGGACTCGGCGTTTTATCCTGCATTAACGTCACCCCTTGATAAAATCTTCCCCGTCAGCCTCAGGAGATCACGGGTGGGAAAGTCACTGTGGGTCTGGGAGACCAAACCACCCTGGCTGGACAGAGCAGAAAGCCCCTGGGGAACCCTCACCCGCAGACCCAGTCACTAAGAAGCTTCCACGACTCAGTGCGGGTGAAGTGCTGGGGGTGGGGTGGGCCACCAGAGAGTGTTGGCTACTATCATCAGTGCTCTCCCTGCCCCCACAGGGTCTGGGACCCGGTGGGCAGCTGACAAATGTTGCTTTTCCTCCCCTCACCCCTAGTCAGGTGCGTGGGAACAGCTGCAGGTACGGCTGCAGGTACGGGGACTCTGCGGATGGGCCCGGAGGTGGCAGAAGCTCTCCTGGTCGGGAAGAAGACGGCGGGCACAAGGGTGCAAAGTGACGGACACCCTTTATCGATTCCCGCTGTCCTAGTGGGGGTCACACAGCACAGCCCGCCGTGAGGCTGGCACGCTGTACACAGAAATTCTAATTCCCCCAGAGCATCCTGTGAAGTATTTCCACAGGCAGCTGGAGGCACAGGGACACCTGCCCACGAGCACACAGGAAGTGCTCCACTTAACATCAGAGAGGCCGACGCCACTGCTGTGCGCCTTGGGGAATGACGAGCAAGTGTAGCAAGAGGAGGGCACCTGGGCTCCAGTATCAGGTGATAAAGTGGCTTCGGAGACAGGGGGCCAAATTTGGAAGGCCTGGATTTCCAGGATGAGAGGTTTGGATTTGGTCTTAGAGCTTTGGTCCTGAGCAGGTGAATGACAAAATGACATAGCCTGCTGGAAGCCTGGTCTGCAGCTGGTGAGCAGGATGTTTAAAAATATGGAACGCACAGGTGGGGCAGCCAGATGGAAAGCAGGTGTGCAACACCAGGAGGGAGGTGCAGGTGCAGCCTTCATTGCCCTCGTGAGCCTGGCCCGGAGGATGCCAGTGAGCACGTCTTCGGCGGGCTGTCCAGCCCCAACCTGAGTCCACTACCAGCAACCAGAGGGGGTGGCATTAGCTTTACCATAGGACTCACGTGCCTGGAACTCCAGGGACATCTGAAGAGCAGTCGTTCCCCTCCCCAGGGCTCGCTGGCTAGACGCCTTACCTGCCCTCTCCTACCTGCTGCTCTCACTCCCCATCCATGCTCTACTGCTGCCCTGCGGGCACCCTGGCTGGCTGCTCCTGTCTGTTGCCTCACTTCCCTGGGGCCAGGGCTGGGCCCATGTCTCCTCGTGTGGTCACATTGGAGCAATGTAGACAGGTAGTGTCCAACTTTGATCCGCAAGATGAAGTGCACCCTTCCCCTGACCCAGTGCACCAGCCCCACCCCAGCTTTGATGTAGTTTTGGAGGGGCAGGTGCCATTCCCCACGGCCCAGGACTCTGCCAGGTCTTCCAGCTACCTTACCCCACCTCCCATTCCCGGCATGCTCTTGGCTGGGAGGGAGGGCAGCTGATGCTGGCTCTCAAGGACGGTGCTGAGGGGGTGATAGAGAATCCTTCCCCAGAGGGAAGGACTTTGGAGCCTGTGAAACAACAAGACTCAGTACAGCTGAGTGTGTGGGCCCCGAAGGGGGAGATTTAAAGAAAGCTCCATGCTACAAGTCAGCACCATGGAAACACACGTTATAGAGTCAGGGTCAGACATCAGTCCCTCGGAACGCATTTCTTGGAGGACGTCTTAGGAGAGGCTGGTGAGGTTGGGGCGGTGGACAGGGAGCAGGTGAGCCGGTGGTCTAGGGCTTGGCTTGCCTGGCTTCAAGCCCAGCTCCACCTTAAGGCTGTGGGCATGGGACTTAACCTCTCTGTGACCCACTTTCCTTACTGCTGATGGGAGATTAAGAAAAATAATGCACCGAGAAAAATAGTGCTCGGCCCAGAGCAGATGCGCCAAATGTCAGCAGTGCCGTGTTGAGAGGGGCAGGCGCTCTCGGCCTGAGAAATAGTCTACAGAAAAACACAGGGTGGGGATTTACAGTGCAGTGGGGAGGGGGTCCCCACAGGAGGTGATGAAGATGTCTTGAAGTTCAGGCTGGAGAACTACTCAATATAGGGATGAGAGGAACCTACTCTAAGTTGGTGGACAAAGAAGGGACACAAGACACTTGGTATCTGAGATGATTCTCAGCAGGTGCATGCAAGACTGATTAGAGAGAGCAGGCCCCGGAGGGTGAGAACTGCTAGAGAGCTTGCAGGTGCCCAAGGAGAAGCAATGGCGAGCCTTGAATGCTGAACCATGGGGTTTGGATGTGGTTTGCAGCCTCTCTTCCATGGACCTCATTGACTCTGCCCTGCCCATGTGTTCCACAGTCCTTCCCTTGCAAACCCTGAGGCTTAAGCGATTGTTTCCTAGCCGCTTGGCTGCCCGCAGGACCGTGGGCCACTCTATTCATACATGGAGGTTAGAGCTCAAAGCGGAACTAAGCATGCAGCTGCAAGTAATCGGTCTCCTTTTAAAGTTGATGTTTGACTTACTGCTGTATTTTTCTCTAAATTCCCTTCATGTTCTTTTGGGTTTCTTTTTCATATAAAATCCTGAACTGGTGCTAACTCTGCGTGCCGAGGAGAGGACAAGCAGATCTTCAGGATGTCACTCATTCATCATTTGTCAAACTCCAACAATCTGTCCTCTGGCAGGGGCTCTAGAAGATGCCAAGATGAATCGGACAGACGCCCTACACTCCTGTGGCTCGGAGCATCATCATAGAGATGAGACACGCATGCAACTCCCCACGCAGGAAGTGATGAGCGCGAGAGCGGGCCTGGTGACTCACACTGGGAGTGGGGGGAGGTGGAAATTACATCCAAACCTATTCACAATTTTTTTAGAGTGGTTTATACTTGTCACAAACTCACATATGAATTGCATGCTATTTTTTACAATTGAGAATTTTGGGAAAGAAATAGTTCCCTCCTTTTCTTTAAGGGCTAAGAAGGAAAAGATGTAGTTTTGGGATGGGTTATTAAACTTATTCATTTTTCATTAGGGTGTGGATTTATACCATAGTGCTTTTTAAAATGTTTTTAATATTATGAAATAAATGCATAACTGGGTGAAGGTGGCAGGTTAAACACACGCGCTGCTTTTGCTCCCTTCTCAAATCCCTCTACAACTAAGAGTTTTAGTCGCCTGCTTTTAAAAATAAGCAGGCAGCCAGAAGTCCCCAGATAGCTGAGGAATGTCTCTAGCATTCAAGACACCGACCAAATCAGTCAATCAACAAAGAAACAGAACTCTGGATCAAATACAGACCATTTGTAGAGAAAAACTCTTGAAAAAACATCCTATAATTAACACCATAAGAGAGATAAAACAAGATATTGGACCCACGAGACAGGAATGGCGTGCGGCACCAAAAACGTCTCCCTGCAGGGCTGGGAGGCAAACTGAAGAAGGTTCCAACAGGCAGGAAAAGACAGAGAGAGAAACGGAAATAGGGGAGAAAGTAGAAAATCAGTTTACCAATTCAAATAATAATAGTTTCAGAAAGAGAGAACTAAAGAAAAAAGAAGGAGGAGGAGGAGGAGACAGAAAATGAAGGAAAAGAAGTTATCATTAAGAAATCAATTAAAAAATTCCCCACAACTGACAGACACAAGTTTCTAGATCAAAGGCCCACTGTCCCTAGCGAAGTGGCTGAAAACAGACTTGTGGCCAGGCACGTTATGGTGAAATTTCAGAACACCAGGGGCAGGAGGTGATTCTGTGGAGCTTCCAGAGAGACAGAAAGAGGTCAAATACAAAACAATCAGAAATCTGAGTGACTTTGGACTTTTTCACAGAAACATTGGAAGCTAAAGGGCCATGGAATAGACTTCAAAATTCTAAAGAAAAATGATCTCCGGACAAGAATTCTAAAGCAGAGAGACCAGAATCCCAAACCAGACAGAGTATCAGTTAAGTCTGAGAATGAAACGAAGACA